CAGGCATTTGATTTAGAGCTTCAGCTTCATTTATGCTTTTTAATCCATAATGTTTACAGATTTAATTAGTAGGGGTGTAACAGTGTATAATAATAATAATCTTTATGTCATTATAGAAACCATGCAATAAAGTTACATGGTTTATAAAGAACTTGGGTGATTTAGTCGGACAGATTGTTTCCAGTGCAGGCCTTTTGATTTATCAGATGTGCCTCTGTTGTTCTGTATATATGTTTTAAAAAGTACTAGCAAAGTACTAGTGATACACTGAACTTATTTACTCACCTAAACCACCAAAGCTGTCAAATTATCAACATAGTGAGCTGAATCTTAAATGTACACATAATATATAAAAGAAAAAGCAACAGTGTTTTGCGGCTAATGGTCAACGCAGCCCAGTAGAAAGTTTGAATTATAACAATAATGGACAGGGAAGTAGGTCAGTTATGCTAGCTTGACTTTGAGAATCTTAACATGTAGACGTGCTGCAGAATCCGGTTCATTGAATGGTAATACTCTGGTAACGGATCTCTGTGCAGCGTCAAGTCAGCAGCAGTTTTGATTTGTTCTCTCGTTTTTCTGCATTATTTTTCCCTTTTCTGCGGCGTTCTGTGCTAAATTAATAATACCTACATCTTCGAGTTTCATTCTGTTAAGTGAATTATCTTACAGTGGCAGCGTGGCTATAGATGGCAAGAAGAGTCTTTTATAAACCCTCAAAACATCTCCAAACTTTTAAAATCTGATTTGGGAAAAGTTCTCAAAATCTTCCTCAACAACAATTTCAACCATTTCCCAGGTTTTATTATTGTTTAATGCTTATATTAAATGATAGAATCAAACTTAGTCAGTTATATAGGATTCAGCTTTTAAAAAATGGTAGAATAAATAAAAACAAACATTGTTGACAAGGAATCTTAACATCCGTTGGCCACTACAGAGTAATTTTTTTTTTCAGATATTTTATTTAAATGTATTAAAAACATATTGAACTGTGATGTTAAAACTGAGATACTCACTGAACCATGGTTTATATTTGCAGTTACACCCCTACTACTTTGCTATTTTATTACCACGACATGCAAGTTAATAAATATTGAAATTATTATGACAAGGGAAAAGACTATATTTCTAAAGATATCATCCAAAAAAACTATAATCATTACTCAAAGGAGTGACCTTTTTATGAAATTCAGAGAAAAATATTTTTGTTAATCTTCTAATTTAAAGCTGATTGAATCCAGAAACAAATAGTTTTATCAATGTATCATGTGACCTATGCAATTTCTTTGGCATTATTAAAGCTTAAAAGCATTGAAAATAAAATTGGATTTGTACCAAACCAACATGAACTCCTCTCTCTTAATTTGTTGTTGTATAAAATTACAAGTTTCAAAATGAGGCC